ATGGTAACCCAGATACAGGAGGCATTTAGAATACCAAACAAACAATATCATGCCATACTGCAGTTAAACATCACACAGAACAAAGAATATTGAAAATCGTAAGAGAAAAGCACCAAATCACATACAAAGGCAAAGCCATCAGAATAGCAGCACATTTCCCCACAGGAAATCTACAAGTCAGGAAGGCTGAATGGTGTTTCAAACTCTGAAAAACAACTGCCAGCTACTTCATCCAACAGATGGCTCTTTTTCTCTTCACAACTGGAGAGGAAAAAGTCTCCATGATAAACACAAACTAATCCAGAACCACAGAGGCTACTGGAAGGAATCCTACACACTGAAGAGGAGAATAAAAACATCTACAAGACATGGGGACCAATGAACTACACTACGCAGTAAGAAAGCAAGGAGATATGAGGAAAATATCAAGCATTATAAAAATAACAAAATGGGGGCTGGAGAGATGGCTCAGAGGTTAAGAGCCCTGGCTGCTCTTCCAGAGGTCCTGAGTTCAATTCCCAGCAACCACATGGTGGCTCACAACCATCTACAATGAGATCTGGCGCCCTCTTCTGGTCTACAGGCATATATATAACATAATAAATTTAAAAAAAAAAAAAAGGACATTGCAGTTCTAGGCTAACAAGCAGAATGGCCAGCTTCTGACAGTAACACATTGTGTTAGTGCTGGAAGAGCAAATTAAAAACGAGGCTGTTAAACTGAGCAGTGGTGTCACACACCTTTAATCCCAGCACTCAGGAGACAGAGGCAGGCGGATCTCTGTGAGTTCAAGGCCAGCCTGGTCTGCAGAGTGTGTTCAAGGACAGCCAAGGCTACACAATGAAACCCTACCTCAAAAAAACCAAAAAATATAAATAAATAAATAAATAAATAAATAAATAAATAAATAAATAAACAAACAAACAAATAAATAAATAAATAGATGGATGCTGTTGAGAAAAGCAAGAAGACTTTTCTCACAAGTGTGCCCAGTGTCACATTGTGGGAAAAGGTGGCAAACACAAGGCAAACCCAAGCCTGGACCAAATCTGTGTGGTCTGTTTGGATGGGAGCTCACCAGGCCAATGCTTTCTTTACATAGTTGCCATCAAGAACAAAAGCGTCACCCTGTTGCTCTACAGGGAACTGGTTAGTCAGAAACAAGGAAGGCGCCGTATTTGAGGGATTTATTATTTTTTTAAATAGCATGCATTGCAGTACAATCAAATTGTTCACATTACCAAAGCAACATTTCCCTGGAATTTAATTCAAAGTTTATAGCACCCAGTCTCATCCTTTTTATTTACCTATTGAAATAAAAATATGTGTTTGTATCTCACTATATGGCCGTATTTATAGAATTCTGGACCCAGCATGTTAGTTGTACTGTATAAAGTTTTGCAAAGAAGTGAAAACAATTTGTTGTACTTTTTATTAAGTTCTGTTAGATTACAAAATTACTTTTTTAAACTACGCGATATTATGTATACAGTGTTCTACAAAATTATTTTTATTAAATAAATATTTTATAGTATGTTAAAAAAAATTCCTAGAATCAAATGAAAATACAACATACTAAAACACAGAACCTAAGCAGTCCTAAGGGGACTGCAAAAGTCTACATCTTAAAAATCATTGTTTTGGGGCTGGAGAGGTGGCTCAGTGGTTAAGAGCACTGGCTACTCTTCTAGAGGACCTGAGTTTGATTCCTAGCAAACCACATCAGCAGCTCAGAACCACCTTTAACTCCAGGTACAGGGGATCTGAAAACCTCTCTGGCCTCCTTAGGCACCCACACACCCACACACACCTGGCTTATATACACAAAGACACATACAAGTAAAAACAATAAAAATAAATCTTTTTAAAAAGTCATTGCTTTGCTTCTATCATTTTATATCACTGGCATTCTCTAAAATTTTATGTAAACAGAGTCATATATAACTTTTGTGTATCTACCTAGTAAATAATTTTCAGATTAAGCTATTTTGTTCTGTGTATCAAAGCTTCTTTCTTTTTACTGCATGGCTTGCAAACTATTATACTAAAATTTAAAATGCATATTATAATCTTAGTTCAAGAAGTATTAGGAAAATACTAGGTTAAAGAAATATCATAACAATTTCCTAAGATTCCTGAAATAGAAATGTATATTCACATATCTCTGACCACATATTAAGTACTTAAAGACAACATGAAATACAACCAAGTTCTCCTACTGGCAGATTCCACATCTAAAGATTAAAACCTACCAAAAATTAAAAATACTCAGACAAAATATATTTAACATGTTCAGGCTTTATTTTGTTATTATTCCCTAACAATTCAGTATAACAATAATTTATATAGAATTTACATTGTTTTAGGAATTATAAGTAATCTAGAATTATTTAAAAATAAATGGGGATATATGTAGGTTATATGCAAATATTATAATTTTATACAAAGGAACTAAGCATGGATTTTGGTATTTGTGCAGGGACATGGTGTCCTAAAATTAATCCTCTTAGTGATACTGAAGGATGTGTATATTGTCAGAATAAAAAGTAAATAGCCTAAGGCGGATCTCTGAGTTCTAGGCCAGCCTGATCTACAAAGGTAGTTCCATAACAGCCATGGCCACACACAGAGAAACCCTGTCTCAGAAAAAAAAAGTAAACAGTATATACAGATACCAGAAAAACTCAGATATCCAAATCTAATTGTTATACCTCTCTTTAATTTTTTTAATTACATTTTTACTTATTTTGTACTGGGGGCAGAGCATGTACATCCTTGGCACCTGTGTGAAGGTCAGAGGTCAACTTTTCTCCTCCATCAGTGAGTCCCAGAGATCAAATTCAGGTTATCAGGTGTGGCAGCCAGCACCTTACCTTTACCTACTGAATTATTTCACCACACCCTATCATACCTTCCTAATCTGTCACATGTTTGATTTAGGAAGCATATAATTGTGTGTGTGTGTGTGTGTGTGTGTGTGTGTGTGTGTGTGTGTGTGTGTGTCTGGATCTGTGTGCATATGCACTATATAGCGTAATGATTAACTGAATAGACTTCAGAATGAAATAAACCAAGTCCACTGCTGCAATTAGTACTATTTTATACTAACTGAATAAAAGACATTTTAATTTTTGTTTTGCTCTGTTTTTGTTTTTTGAAACAGGGTTTCTCTGTGTAGCTCCGGCTCTTCTAGAACTCACTTTGTAGACCAGGCTGGCCTCAAACTCACAGAGATCCTCCTGCCTCTGCCTCCCAAGTGCTGGGATTAAAGGCATATGCCACTACCACTCAGCAACATTCTAATTTTTTTAATTAACAAAAAGTTTTAAAATTAAAGCCAGTATGGAATTACATTGAAAAAAAAACTAACGAACTGTGGTGATATTGTTTTCCCCAAAATATTGTGCACCCTAATAAACTTACCTGGGGTCAGAGAACAGAACAGCCACTAGATAGTCATAGAGACCAGAAAATGGTGGCACACATGCCTTTAATCCTATCACTTGGGAGGCAGAGATCCATCTGGATCTCTGTGAGTTTAAGGCCACACTGGAAACAGCCAGGCATGGTGACTCACGCCTTAAATCCCAGGAAGTGAGCCCTTAATCCCAGGAAGTGATGTCAGAAAGCAGAAAGGTATATAAGGCATGAAAACCGGGAACTAGAAGCTTTTAGCTGGTTAAGGTTTCAGGCTTTGGAGCAGCAGTTCAGCTGAGATTCATTCTGGATGAGGACTCAGAGGCTTCCAGTCTAAGGAAACAGGATTAGCTGAGGAACTGGCGAGGTGAGGTGGCTGTGGCTTATTCTGCTTCTCTGATCTTCCAGCATTCACTCCAATAATTGGCCTCAGGTTTGATTTTACTAATAAGAACTTTTAAGATTCGTGCTACAAACGAACAGTGATGTAAAGAAAACTGCCAGCTAAAGGGACCATGTTTATCATTAAGAAAAGAAATACATCTCTAGTAGAGGATATAATGAAAGCACTTATTGGATTATTTATCAGAAAATAAATATAATTAACTCAGTGGTCCAGACAGTCTCTAATTACCAGTTTCTTTCCACTCTTCCCCCCTCAGAAAATATGATCCAGGTCACTGGAAGTCTAATCCAGCATCTGGAGCAGAGGCTGAGTAGCTTTAAGAAAAACCACGGACACTAAAGTCACCTGTTGAAATGGCTGGAAATTCAAAGAAAAGCAGCACTGGTCACAATAAGATCACATTGGAAATTACTGTGAGCTAAGGTCACAGACGGCACGCTGGGTCTCTAGGAACAACACTGACATGGCTGAGATATTAAGGACACCACCTTGTAGCTGGAGTTTTCCTGCCTGGCCCACGGTCAGGACAAATCTCCCTCACCTGCCAGTCCCATAGCCGTCAGACCCGACCAAGTAAACACAGAGACTTATATTGCTTACAAACTGTATGGCCGTGGCAGGCTTCTTGCTAACTGTTCTTACAGCTTAAATTAATCCATTTCTATAAATCTATACCTTGCCACGTGGCTTGTGGCTTGTGGCTTACCAGCATCTTCACATGCTGTTTCTCATCGTGGCGGCTGGCAGTGTCTCTCTGACTCAGCCTTCCACTTCCCAGCTTTATTCTCCTCCTTGTCCCGCCTACACTTCCTGCCTGGCCACTGACCAATCAGTGATTTATTTACTGACCAATCAGCAACACACTTGCCATACAGACCATCCCACAGCACTACCTCCCACAGCAGATGAGCACACAGCTAACCGGAGAGAGTCTGTCTGCACTGTCAGCCTCCATGCCTGCCCAGTTCTGCTCTCTGAGACAGCTGCAAGAGCACTGGGCCGCTTTTTAGACTGTCTGTAACTGAGAATATCCAAATTTTCACATGATTCTACCCCTGAAAATGACCTTAGGATTAGTGTATGTGCAAACACTGTAAACAAAAGTAAAATAAATGTATGGACTAGTAAAGTAATGAAAATGCAATGTTTACAAAGGGAAACTGAAGTTGAGCTCACCTGTCCACTTTTTCCAAATTCCAGCTCTACAATGGCAGCAGGGGTGTGTATTTGAGCCGAGTGCCTTGACTGTGACTTGCCATCGACTCTCCAGCTCAGGCCCCGCAGTCCGTTGTCCCAGCGGCTCTGGTTCAGGAGGCTCTCTCGGATTCTTGACTTATGGCTCTTCCAAAACTTGGAAATGACCGCAGCTTGTTCACAGGTGATGCCACCTTGCTTTTTGGTCTGAGCAGTCAAGAAGGCCTCTAACTGGTTGAAATCCATGTCAGCAGATGCAATAGACTACAAAGACAACAGAAAAAGCAATATACATTTGAACTTGGTAGATAACTAGACACAGCTGCCTAACTACAGAGCATGTTCTGGTTGATCTTAATCATTGACTATGTTTTCAAAAAGGCCGTCAAGTGACAAGACTGAGAATGAGTGACAATTATAGTACAAATGCAAAAATACTCCCTTTTCAAATACCAAGACAAGACTGTAACTTTAAATGTCCGGTTTCAGAGGGCTGGAGAGACGGCTCAGGAGGTTAAGAGCACTTGCTGCTCTTGCCAAGGGCTCAGGTTCAGTTCCCAGTACACACGGCAGCTCACAACTGTCCATAACTCCAGTTCCAAGGGATCGGATATCCTCTTCAGACCTCCACAGGCACCAAGCATGAACATGATGTAAATACATGCACTCAGGCAAAACACTCATGCATATAAAATAAATAATTGTAATTTTTTTCATATCCAGCTTCATAGTGGGGAAATAAAAATTGTTCTAAACAATGAAACAAAAAAGTCAAATTAATTGGTTCTCTGATAAAATCTTACGTAATTTATTGTCAATAGACCTGGTCTGACATGCTACAGTGCTACCATGAGTTGTCCGTTAGACAACTAAATGTTGTTAAGTGAGTATGTTAATGGAACTCTGCAGCCTATCTCAGTCAAAAAGCTCAGTAATTCTACTGTCACTGTATGCCACCTGACGCTTTACTTATATTTTCAAACCTCAACTGCCACTGAAGCTAGGTTCTCCACTCTAGCATTCAAGGAAACACAGTAACTAGATGTGTGGTTGGATATTTTGTCAATGTTGACACAATCTAGAGTCATTCGAGAAGAAGGAACTTCAGTTGAGAAAATGCCTCCACCAGATTAGCCTGTGGGATCATTTCTTTTCCTTTTTCTTTCTTTTTCTTTTTCCTCCTGAGACAGGGTTTCTCTGTGTGTAGCCCTGGAACTCTCTTTGTAGTCCAGACTGGCCTCGAACTCACAGAGATGTCTGCCTCTGCCTCCCCAGTGCTGAGATTAAAGGTATGAGCCATGATGGATTAGCTTCTTAAATGATGATAGGTTAGGGTGAGGTGGGCCTGGCCTACTGGGGGCAGTTCAACCTACTGTAGGCCGTGGTCCCAGGTTGTTTAAGAAAGCAAACTGAGCAAGTCAGGAGGAGAAGCCAGAAGTGGCATTCCTCCATGTCTCTGCTTCAGTTCCTGCATCCAGGTTCCTGCTTTGGCTTCAGTCCATTGACGATGGACTGGAACCTGTAAGCCAAATAAACCCTGTCCTCCCTAAGTTACTTTTGGTCACGGTGTTTATAACAGCAACAGAAGCCAAACTAAGACACTAAATATAAGTATATTAAATGTAGAATAAAGTATCTTAAGTTTGCACAGTACTCTACTTTCAAAGAGTTTTCACATCTATTCTATTGAAACTCATATTCCATTTTCAAAGACAACATGGTAGACAGAAGCACTGAGAAGTATTGATAATAGAGAAGCCACTGACTTTCCATAAAGTTCAATGAACCAGAGTCCTAACTGTTAAGCCATAGTTCTCTGGTATATTGGCTGGTTTTGTGTGTCAACTTGACACAAGCTAGAAACATCAGAGGAAGGAGCCTCAGCTGAGGAAACACCTCAATAAGATACAGCTCTTAAGCATTTTCTCAAGTAGTGATTGATGGGGGAGTGTCTGGCCCATGGTGGGTGGTGCGATCCCTGGGCTGGTGGTCCTGGGTTCTAAAAGAAGGTGAGCTGAGCAAGCCATGGGAAGCAAACCAGTAAGTAGCATCCTCCATGGCCTCTGCATCAGCTCCTGCCTCCAGGATCCTGCCCTGTTTGAGTTTCTGTCCCAGCTTCCTTCAGTGATGGACTGCAATGTGGAAGTTTAAGCCAAATAAACCCTTTCCTCCACAACTGCTTTTTGGTCATGGTGTTTCGTTGCAGCAATAGAAACCCTAACAAAGACACCTGGTTAGCTATCATAACAGACTACACAGGTAGATACTGGCATCACGATGATGATGATGATGATGAAGAAGAAGAAGAAGAAGAAGAAGAAGAAGAAGAAGAAGAAGAAGAAGAAGAAGAAGAAGAAGAAGAAGTCGTCAAACTGGCACATTCTACCAACAATGATACAAAAATGTCACCACCTAAGGATTAGCTACATGCTTAGTTCACTATCCTTCAGAGACTAATTATCACTATCATTTCTTTTTAAGATTTAGCTGTTTCAAGTGAGAAAAGTGTGTTATTAGAATTTATCCAACTAGTTCAGTTTAACAACATACAGGAAAATTGGGAGGAAAAAAATGAGAAGACAGTGTAGATAGTGTGCCAAAACTCAAGACACGGTTATACATATACAATAAGGAGCCAAAAGACTGGGTGCATGGGTAATTATGATGCAAAGCTAAATCTGAACACTAGAAAGTCAGATCTGAGGACATGCACCGCTGAGGTGAAGTGGGAAATCACAACGCTTTCCTTTCCTATGTCACTGTTCTCCCTTGGCCACTGAGGCTGCTGGTGGGAGCATCAGATGAGATCAGAGTGCCCTCTTTTCTCTGTGCACGGGGGTCTAGGTCAGTTTCCCGCTTACGACAGGAAGACAAATGGCCTTGCCTTGGGGGATTTTAGTGCCAGAAGGATGTGAGACTGGGATTGTGGACATCCAGTTTCTACAACTTTTTGGCACAAAGTTGAAAAGAAGAAAAGGAGGAGGGGCGGAGCTAAATGGAAAGAAGAGAAGGGGTAAGGAAAGATCGTGAGGTTCAGCAGAGATGAAAGGGTACTCTGTCTTGTGGCTCTGTATAAAATGGTGCCCAGGGTTCTGGTTCTTGCAGGTCTTCTTTCAGTTGTGTATGCTATCTCAGCAACCTTCCAAGTGCACACACCAAAACATTCCATTACTTTCCTGTTGCTCTGATAAAACACCATAACCAAAAGCAACTTATAGAAGGGCAAATTTATTTCGTCTTATAGTTCTAGAGGAGTAGCAGTCTATCATGCCAGGAAGACTTTGTATTAGCAGGAGCAGGAGGCTGAAAGACAGCCTCTCAGCTACGTGGACAAGGCAGAGAGCGTGAACTGGAAGTAAGGCACAGCTGTATATTCTCATGGCCTACCTCCAGGGACAGCTTAAGCCTCCCCAAACAGCACCACCAACTGGAGTTCAAATACCTGAGCCTTCGGAGGGCATTTCTTATCCAAACCCCAACTATTCAAATAATTTATACCATAGTCCTCTCAGTTGGACCCTCAAGTTGTCACTATAATAGGACACCAGCAGTAAGAGCAAAGGGTGCTGTCCAGCAGTACAGACACGCTACTTTTCATTTCTCTATTAATATAAAAACTGTGTGGCAAACATCGAAACTTTCTGAGAGATTATATTTCATGTTACAATTCAACACATTTACCACCTACTTACCAGACAACAGATCCAAAATCTCTAGCTGTGATTCGAAATAGGAGTATTACTTTAAAGCCTAGCCTTGGTGGCTCATGGCTATAATCCCAGCACTCAGGAGGTAGAGGAGGTAAACAGTCAAAAGTAAGTCTGGCCTGTGTGTACAACAACTTCTAGGACAGTAGAGCTACATGGCAAGTCCCCCGGTAGAGGGGAGTTACTTTGTGTATATACTACAATTAAGTTAAATTTTTCTATTAGCATCTTGCTTTACAACACAGATGGTCTGTATCATTTTCCTCATGATACCAAGAGATATCTATTCTGAGATACATGTGGTAATGCACACCTGTAAAAACAGTCCCATGGATTAGCAGCTACATAGTGAATTCCAGGACAACATGTCTTTAAAAAACAAAACCTATTCTGATATAACTGTGCCTTATGACATAAAAGTTATTTTGGTTGGATTTCAATCAACATCTTGAACAACAGTCAATTCATCCAAATTTTAACACAATTGGAAAATAAGGAACTGACTTTGAACTGAATTCAAAGTCATGAATTCTCATTTAATAACAGTTTTCATTTAATTCAAGAAAAGTCTTAGTAAGCTTTGTTTCAGTTTTCTTCTCATTTTTGAACAACTGAAAATATAAAAAGCATTCTCAGCTTATGGACCATCCAATGACAGGAAGTAGGGCCAACCCCTGCTTAAGAACATGCCACAGAACAAACTGACCCATGTCACATGATTGCAACACCCCACATGACACTGAGGAAACCTGTTTACAATCACTGGAGCCTAAAAATTAACTTCGTTTATATGAGAAAGTGCTTTTTGAACAGTTTTAATAAACACTAAATTTTTCAGGGACATAACAAAAACAGCTTGTAGGTTTTCACTTTATAGACAGGATGTTTAACATTTAGGAAAATCGTTGCTGAGTTTAAAATTTATGAGCTGCCAATACAGCACAGCTGTATATTAACTGCCTTTGTTGCTATATGTTCAGTGATTCCACATATAGTGCAAACATATACATACAATAATGCTCGAAGTTACATCTTAAAACATCACAAATTATTTTCATTTACATTTATGCCATATAGAATTTTTCAAAAAATATGAAATTATATGTATGTGTATATATGTACATATAGTGTGTGTGTGTGTGTGTGTGTGTGTGTGTGTGTGTGTGTGTGTATGTGTGTGTGTGTGGGAGTGTCATGCATGTTTGTGCAAGTACATGCGGAGACCGGAAGCCAATGTCAGGTACTTTCCTAATCAGTTTCCACCTTACTTAGTGAGGCAAGGTCTCTCACTGACTAGGCTAGGCTGGCCAACGGGCTGTAGGAACCTTTGTGCCAGCACGACCACCACTTAGACACTGTAGTCACAGATGCGAGCTGCTGTGCCTGGCTGTTCACATGGGTGCTGGAACACCAAACTCAGCTCTTCATGTTTGAATATCAGGCACTTTATCAACCAAGCCATCTTCCAGCCCCACAAACTTACATAAGAACTCTCTGTAAGGATATGAAAGGAGTCTTAGGAAAATGTTTACTATAAAAAGTGAACAGAGGACTGGA